AAGGTCTTCATTGACTATTAATGATTAATTATCGCTACATCAACGCCGTGTCTAACTGAACTGTAGTCGGTTTCCTAATGAACAAAATGTGCTTGAGAAACGTTCGACATAATATCGACGTTTGTAACCTTAAATTAACGAGGGAAATCAACGCTATCAACATTAATTCCATGTTCCATCAACGTCGTGTGCTCCGGCGGGTAACGAACCGGACTCATAAGATACAGGTCAGTCAACGCCCCATAATTCGTTGACAATAGTGCCCTGACTATTGGATGCGTCCAATCGATACGTTGAGCGGGGAGCGTCGACACTGAGGGTCCCCATCTCACGTCGACATGGGAGATAAACAGTGTCCCTAGCGCCCCGTCCCATCTAAGGGGAAAGGGAAGAAGGTGACGGTATCCGACACGTCAGTTGAAGTGGGACGAACAGTACCGTCGTCAACACCAGTCAGAAAGTGATGACTTAGTGTCATCCCAGGTGACACTGAGGTGACAGCGTCTTCCTAGGTACATGTGCACGTCTCAACACCTGTGCTCGTCTTATGAGCCATGTTCGCACGACGAACGTGTCCTTTCCAAACACCTACGCGCACCCTAGAGTCCAATGCTTGCTCCTGAACCCGGGCTAATCCCAACACCTGAACTCTCCCCAGTACCTGTGTTTGCCCCAAATACCCACACTCGCTCTAGAACACATCCTCGTCGCAGCACATGTGTTTCGCCCCAACATATGTGCTTGTTCCAACACCTTTGCTTCCCGCTCAGAACCTGTGTCCTGTCCCGTGTAGACCACCAGTGGTGTTGGACGTGTTCTGGGTCCGTCTCATTCTATTCAGCCTGGAAAAGTTGCACGACTAGAAGCCTGATTAGTGGCTTCCAGGTCCTGGCTTACCAGTGTGGGAGAGGACAAGGAAAATAACATTCAAGTGTTGTAACCATTGTAACCTTTGGGAGCCGGTCGGCCGAGCGGACAGCAAGCTGGACTTGTGATCCTGTGGTCCTGGGTTCGACCCCAGGCGCCGGCGAGAAACAATGGGCAGAGTTTCTTTCACCCTATGCCCCTGTTACCTAGCAGTAAAATAGGTACCTGGGGTGTTAGTCAGCTGTCACGGGCTGCTTCCTGGGGGGTTGAGGCCTGGTCGAGGACCGGGCCGCGGAGACACTAAAGCCCCGAAATCATCTCAAGATAACCTCAAGATATGCCAAGCTGAGCACAACAATAACAACAACATAACACGGAGAGAATGTCCAACCCAATTTTAATTTTATATGTCAATAAATAAAATAAATATTTCATATCTCAAAAAGGGTCTGACAGCCGAGTGGACAGCGTTTCAGCCTCGTAGTCCAGAGGTTCTGTGTTCGATCTCCGGTGGAGGTGGAAACAAATGGGTAGAGTTTCTTTCACCCTGATGCTCCCTCTGTTACCTAGCAGTAAGTAGATCCCTGAGAGTTAGACAGCTGCTACGGGCTGCTTCCTGGGGATGTGTAGCACAAAGGAGGCCTGGTCGAGGACCGGGCCGCGGGGACGCTAAGCCCCGAAATCATCTCAAGATAACCTCAAGATAGATCTCCCTCATACAGCCATGAAACAATATTTCCATTTTATGATAATGTATTTTAGAAAAAATACTTTAAATATAATTTTAAACATATTTTTTTAATATACAGGGGAGCAAATAGTGTTATAAAAACCATTATTACCCAAATCATATAAGAATATTTAAAAAAAAATTGTAAAGTAAATGTAAAAAGTAAATGTTTTGTGTATCTTTCACACAACTCTGTCACAACATTTACACAACAATAATGTTACAAAATGACATAAATTTAATATTTAAACAAGAACAAATAACTTTAATATATAAGGAAACGAATGGTTTTATACAAGCCAATATTAGGTAAATCACCAACAATTATAATTTGATTTTAATGTATCTAAGTATTTTCAGAATGTTTCATAAAGAAATGAAAAAAATTAAAATTTATAAGTGTATTTTACTAAAAAAATGAGATAAGAAATAAAATATTAATTTAATATATATGGGGGAAAATAATGTAAGAAAAGCCAACATTAGCCAAATTGCATTATATTATATATATATATATATATATATATATATATATATATATATATATATATATATATATATATATATATATCGTACCTAGTAGCCAGAACGCACTTGTCAGCCTACTATGCAAGGCCCGATTTGCCTAATAAGAAAACTTTTCAAGAAATAATTGTTTTTCGACTACCTAACCTACCTAACCTAACTTTTTCGGCTACCTAACCTAACCTAACCTATAAAGATAGGTTAGGTTAGGTAGGGTTGGTTAGGTTCGGTCATATATCTACGTTAATTTTAACTCCAATAAAAAAAAGTTGTCCTCATACTTAATGAAATGGGAAGCTTTATCATTTCATAAGAAAAAAATTAGAAAAAAAATATTAATTTAGGAAAACTTGGCTTATTAGGCAAATCGGGCCTTGCATAGTAGGCTGAGAAGTGCGTTCTGGCTACTAGGTACGACATTATATATATATATATATATATATATATATATATATATATATATATATATATATATATATATATATATATAAATAAATACATTTACCATTTACGAATTAAACGAGGTTCATGTACCTGTTGAACCCTATGTGAATGGTTATTATTATGTTCACAACAACCTTCTGGCAACTTTAGTGAACGTAGTAGCAACGTTTTGTGTGTCCTGTGATGTCCGTATGATGATACGGCTGTATGATGAACCATTCAGTATGGAAACAACTGATTGATGATACAGCTGTATGGAGATACAGCCGTATGGTGATACAGCTGTATGGTGAACCTGCCGTAATCATTCACATAATAATTCGTATGTTCCTGAAGATAATATTTGTCCTTTTAATAAAGTAAATAAAGATGGCAGCTCCAGGTGTTTCTATATCCATAACCGGGTCAAGCCTGGTCTGCGGCTGCCTTCTGTAGGTCCTTTGAGGCTGACATTAGTGAATAGGGAGAGATGCCATCTGGGAGGGATAGGAGAGGGCAGGATGGCAGCTGGGAGAGGTAAAAGGGGTCAGGATAGCGGCTGGGAGAGGTAAAAGGGGTCAGGATAGCGGCTGGGAGAGGTAAAAGGGGTCAGGATAGCGGCTGGGAGAGGTAAAAGGGGTCAGGATAGCGGCTGGGAGAGGTAAAAGGGGTCAGGATAGCGGCTGGGAGAGGTAAAAGAGGTCAGGATAGCGGCTGGGAGAGGTAAAAGGGGTCAGGATAGCGGCTGGGGAAGGTAGGAACGGCCAGGATATCAGTCGTCTTCAAGTCAGACAATTGGGGTTAGTTTCACCCAAAATTGACAGAGAACATTTGCCCACATCTCAGAGTAAAGAGATAACTATACATTTTTCAGTATTACACACTGTTCTCACCAGGCCGCTACCCACATGTCAGTCATAGACACCAATATTTATACACGACACACACACAGACGTAAACACAGACAGTGACACAGACAGACCTAAACAGAGACAGAAAACAGAGTGTCACAGACATGAACAGACAGAGAGAGGGAGGCAGAGACAGCCAAAAAGTAGATAGATGGAGGGAAAGGTGGGTGGATAAATAAATGAAATAGGTGAATAGATCAATTGATAGACGGATATATAAATCAGTAAATGGATGGATAGAAAGCTGCATAAAGGGATAGCTAAAGGAATGTATAGAAGGACTGATAGTTGCCTGAAAACATAAGACCATAAGAATAAAGGTAACTGCAAAAGGCCTATTGGCCCATACAAGGCAGCTCCTATTCATATCCACCCAAACTCATTCAAGCGTCTAACCTACGCTTGAAACAATTATTGAAATACAGGTGGACAGATAGATGTATAAATAGAAGATCGTTAGCCAGGTGGTTAGATGATAAATGGAGAGATTGATGGATATATATTCACTGATATCGGGATAATTAGTATACTTTCCTGCTATTCAAAAGTTCGCCGTAGTCCCAGAACCTAGACGATTCTCCCACAGCTGCTGAGGATTTTCACTTCTCAAAGTTAACTGGGTATTACACTTTGTAGTATTATGGGGAGAGAGAAAGAGAGAGAGGGAGAAAGAGAGAAAGAGAGAGAGGGAGAAAGAGAGAAAGAGAGAGAAGTGGGGGGGGGAGAGAGACGGAGAGAGACAGAGAGAGACAGAGACAGTGAGAGACAGTGAGGGAGAGGGAGAGACAGAGAGAGACAAAGACAGAGGTACAGATATAGTATTGACAGACAGTAGACGGATGGATGGATAGGTAGATCGCTGGATGGATAAAAAGATTGAAAAAGGGAAAAATTGATGGATAGATGAACAGTTAAATGTGTGGATTGATAGATGAACAGAAGGATTAATTAATATATGGATGGATAGATGAACAGATGTGTAAGTATAATGACGCATGGATAGATGGATTAATATATATGGATAGATGAATATATGGATAAATATATCGATGCATGGATAAATGGATAGATAGATGACAGATGGATGGATAGATAATTACTAGATGGAAAGATTAGTAGACTAATGATAGACAGGTCCACGTATTTCTCCATCTATTCACCTAACGTTAATATAATGACACCATTAATAGGCAGCACATTATAGCACTAATTACGTCGATGTTTTGAAGTGATTATGATGAGAATTTTCCTCATCATAATAATTCTCATTGAAGAAACAGTCCAGTTTCATCATTGTACAAGACTGAACTGAACGATAGAGCAACGGTCTCGCTTCATGCAGATCGGCGTTCAATCCCCAACCGTCCACCAAGTGCCTGGGCACCATTCCAATCCCCTCGTCCCATCTTAAATCCTTATCCTGATCCCTTCTAAGCGCTATATAGTCGTAATAGCTTAGCGCTTTCCCCCCCACCTGATAGTTCCCTTTCCTTAGAACACATACACAAGCCACCACAACCTGATGGATCTCTCCTCTTCCGCAGATCAACTGAACGAAGTGGCCATCAGCGACGCCCTTCCCAGGTTCCAGGAGCCCATAAAGAACGTGACTGTTCCACTGGGAAGGGAAGCCGTTCTCTCCTGCATTGTTGAGAACTTGGGGGAGTATAAGGTGAGTGAATACTGTCTCATGGGAGAGTATAAGGTGAGTGAATACTGTCTCATGGGGGAGTATAAGGTGAGTGAATACTGTCTCATGGGAGAGTATAAGGTGAGTGAATACTGTCTCATGGGAGAGTATAAGGTGAGTGAATACTGTCTCATGGGAGAGTATAAGGTGAGTGAATACTGTCTCATGGGAGAGTATATGGTGAGTGAATACTGTCTCATGGGAGAGTATATGGTGAGTGAATACTGTCTCATGGGAGAGTATAAGGTGAGTGAATACTGTCTCATGGGGGAGTATAAGGTGAGTGAATACTGTCTCATGGGAGAGTATAAGGTGAGTGAATACTCTCTCATGGGGGAGTATAAGGTGAGTGAATACTGTCTCATGGGAGAGTATAAGGTGAGTGAATACTGTCTCATGGGAGAGTATATGGTGAGTGAATACTGTCTCATGGGAGAGTATAAGGTGAGTGAATACTGTCTCATGGGTGAGTATAAGGTGAGTGAATACTGTCTCATGGGAGAGTATAAGGTGAGTGAATACTCTCTCATGGGGGAGTATAAGGTGAGTGAATACTGTCTCATGGGAGAGTATAAGGTGAGTGAATACTGTCTCATGGGAGAGTATAAGGTGAATACTGTCTCATTTGAGAGTACAGGTGAGTGAATACTGTCTCATGGGAGAGTATAAGGTAAGTGAATACCGTCTCATGGGAGAGTATAAGGTGAATACTGTCTCATGGGAGAGTATAAGGTGAGTGAATACTGTATTGGTAGAGTACAGGTGAGTGAATACTGTCTCATGGGAGAGTATAAGGTGAGTGAATACTGTCTCATGGGAGAGTATAAGGTGAGTGAATACTGTCTCATGGGAGAGTATAAGGTGAGTGAATACTGTCTCATGGGAGAGTATAAGGTGAACACTGTCTCATTTGAGAGTACAGGTGAGTGAATACTGTCTCACGGGAAAATACAAAGTGAGTGAATATAGGCCTCCAGGGAGAGTAAAAGAAACACAAGTACTGTCTCTTGTGACAGTACAAGTTGAGTGGGAACTGTCCACCGTCTTTTATTGGGCAACAGTATTTCCAATTAGTTTTCTGTCAAATTGACAGCCATTAATTACCGCGACATTAACACCTTGCTCTATTCGGACAATATTATCGTCTGCTTCCTGTAATTGGTCTAAAGAAATTCCTCATTAACTACTCTAGGAATTGAGTGTAAGAGAAGTGGGAAAGGTTGCACTCTCTCTCCCTTCCCCAGCACCCCCAACCACTTGGACTGGACGGTAGAGCAACCGTTTCGCTTCATGCAGGTCGGCGTTCAATCCCCCGACCGTCCATAAGTGGTTGGGCGACATTCCTTGCTCCATCTCCCCTCCAGCATCTCCAACACAAGGTGACAGATTATTATCACACACACAATAATACAAATGTTTCAAGCTAAAGTGAATATTTATCATCTGAAGATCGGATTTACAGGACTTTTTTAATCTACACATATACCCACGTGTATGTACTACACATATACCCACGTGTATGTACTACACATATACCCACGTGTATCCTTGTGTCTCCACGTGTCTCCGTGTGACGTGGAAGCCTTACACACACACACACACACATAGGGCCTCGTAGCCTGGTGGATAGCGCGCAGGATTCGTAATTCTGTGGCGCGGGTTCGATTCCCGCACGAGGCAGAAACAAATGGGCAAAGTTTCTTTCACCCTAAGTGCCCCTGTTACCTAGCAGTAAATAGGTACCTGGGAGTTAGTCAGCTGTCACGGGCTGCTTCCTGGCGGGTGTGTGTGTGTGGTGTGTGGGGAAAAAAAAAGTAGTTAGTAAACAGTTGATTGACAGTTGAGAGGCGGGCCGAAAGAGCAAAGCTCAACCCCCGCAAAAACACAACTAGTAAACACACACACACACACACACACACACACACACACACACACACACACACACACACACACACACACACACACACACACAAACCTTGCCGGTAGAAATAGGAAGCGAACTATTTTATTTTCCTAAAAGTCCAGCAGAACTTTTTTCAACCTCTATTTACATGAAATCGGTACTATTTCTCTAGGAAAAATTCTTGGTGCCTGTCAACGTTGTTTACATATTAAGGCTGAAAAATCTGTAGGGAAATGAAAATATATTTATCGTATGATGATAGTGTTTTGTGCTGGGGATTGTACACCACTGAGAGGGAGCTCAAAGGGAACCTGAATAGTGGGAAATACATTAGAGTTTAAAAAGTGTGAGGAAACTTTGGAGTGTTCGAGTAATATGAGAATCGGACAAGTGTGTCGGAGTATTGAAGTTTTAAAGATGGAAGATCATGGCTACTGTGCTCATTGATGGGTGGAGGTTGGTGGTGATGGTGGTTGGTGATGGTGGTGGTGGTGGTGAGGGTGAGAGTGAGGTTCTAATGTGTGATAGTGAAGTGTACAGTGATCTGAATGCCTCCTTTAAGTTCTTGAAGAATGTTCTGCTTGTAGTGTAAGAGTTAACTTACACTACAAGCAGGAGAGTTTTGCTTGTAGTGTAAGCGAGTGATACAAGCTATGTATATGCGGCTCCGGAGCTAGGTACAGTGATTCTGAGTGATACAGTGATATTATATATCATAGATACATAGATACAGTGATACTCTCAGCTCTTGTTCTCTTGTTACAGGGAGGAAGCTTCCCATCGTTGTCTACCCTACCCCTTGTCTCCTGGCGCCTATTTTCATTGCTATCACCTTCTTGAGCTCCAAGAGCTGTTTCTCGAACCAAATCTGCAGCTTGTCTAAGTCATCTTGGAGTGTCTTATCATATTCATTTTTCTCGAAATCTTCTAATTCATTTTGTATTGTTTGCTATATACATAAATGAGAATTACCATTGTTGTCAGCGCTGATCTGTGAGGTACTCCGCTTATTATGCTACGCCATTGTCTGTATGTGTGTATTTATCATTTGTGCCTATAGGTTCGAGTTGTTAGCTCTTGGACCCCGCCTTTCTAACCGTCGGTTGTTGAATGTACTGACTCCGACCTGTTTTCCTCAGTCACATCTACTACATATATTTCTAACACACACACACACACACACACATGCCCAGGAAGCAGCCCATAGCGGATGTTTAACTCCCAGGTACCTAATTACTGTTAGGAGAACAGATATATTAGGTGAAAGAAACTGTCCATTTGTTTCTGCCTGGGCCGGGAATCGAACCAGGGCCCTTACAAGTACGACCTAGGAGCTCATCCACTCGGCCGAGAGGTTCTGTGTGAGTGCGGGGCTTCAGCTCTTGGGCCCCATCTCCTATCAACTGGTGTATGTGTATAAATAAAAACAATATATAGAAATACGTCACAAATAATTCTGCCAATTACACCAAAAAGCTGAGTACTGACGGCGTCACTAGATAATATTTGTGTATTTAATTTTGCTTAAGATTCGTTGTGAAGTTACTGGAGATATATTAATGTTCTCGGTAATGAAATATTCCTCGTTTCTAAGTATTATCTTTACATTAAATATGGCTTCAATTTGTAAAAATATAGTGATAGTTCGAATTCAGAATTTAGGAATTTGTTCATAATAATAATAATATGATTAACAAATTAGTAATGGTAATGTCTTCTCGCAGACATAATAACAAAGGATAAAAACTCACACTTGTGCATTTGTGAAATTTGTGTATTTGCAAGACTATACGATAAATAGGGCCATGGAGTGATAGCCAATAAAATAACGTCCGAAGGAATAACAGGTAAAGTTGGGTGATATTTAATTTCCTGTCAAACAAAATAGAACAAGTAATAGTTTACAAAATCAAAAGCTCTCTACTCAGAGTCGTTGTCACTGTACAACTACTTTTCCTCATCCTCATACCAGATACAAAGATAAAATTACCCAGCTTTGTTTTAAATTTTGCCCCGAGGAGCGAGTTTATTGGGCAGCGCCACTCATCCTGTGAGTGGACACACCGCCATAGTGACAGTATTGGGCAGCGCCACTCATCCTGTGAGTGGACACACCGCCATAGTGACAGTATTGGGCAGCGCCACTCATCCTGCGAGTGGACACACCGCCATAGTGACAGTATTGGGCAGCGCCACTCATCCTGCGAGTGGACACACCGCCATAGTGACAGTATTGGGCAGCGCCACTCATCCTGCGAGTGGACACACCGCCATAGTGACAGTATTGGGCAGCGCCACTCATCCTGCGAGTGGACACACCGCCATAGTGACAGTATTGGGCAGCGCCACTCATCCTGCGAGTGGACACACCGCCATAGTGACAGTATTGGGCAGCGCCACTCATCCTGCGAGTGGACACACCGCCATAGTGACAGTATTGGGCAGCGCCACTCATCCTGCGAGTGGACACACCGCCATAGTGACAGTATTGGGCAGCGCCACTCATCCTGCGAGTGGACACACCGCCATAGTGACAGTATTGGGCAGCGCCACTCATCCTGCGAGTGGACACACCGCCATAGTGACAGTATTGGGCAGCGCCACTCATCCTGCGAGTGGACACACCGCCATAGTGACAGTATTGGGCAGCGCCACTCATCCTGCGAGTGGACACACCGCCATAGTGACAGTATTGGGCAGCGCCACTCATCCTGCGAGTGGACACACCGCCATAGTGACAGTATTGGGCAGCGCCACTCATCCTGCGAGTGGACACACCGCCATAGTGACAGTATTGGGCAGCGCCACTCATCCTGCGAGTGGACACACCGCCATAGTGACAGTATTGGGCAGCGCCACTCATCCTGCGAGTGGACACACCGCCATAGTGACAGTATTGGGCAGCGCCACTCATCCTGCGAGTGGACACACCGCCATAGTGACAGTATTGGGCAGCGCCACTCATCCTGCGAGTGGACACACCGCCATAGTGACAGTATTGGGCAGCGCCACTCATCCTGCGAGTGGACACACCGCCATAGTGACAGTATTGGGCAGCGCCACTCATCCTGCGAGTGGA